ATGATTTGATCAAGGGCTTTGAGCCCTAAGGATGAAACACGAGATATGGGTGTGGCTCATTCAAATATGTAAGCATGAAAGGAGTGTTCTGATGGAACTTGGTCTTGATAACCATCCTCTCAATAATGTCTATAATATCATGTGTTACACGTGATGATGATCTCTTGATAAATTCTCCATAATTGTTAAAACGGAAATATTTTGTCAACGCTTTAGTAAATATTATTTAGTCGTGCTTTATTTTGGATAAAATTATAAGATGGTATATATGATTTGTTTTTATGACCATGAACTTGACTTGGTAGGAAATTAAAGGTGAATGCGGAAAAATGATTTAGGAAGGCTAAGCATATATTTTATAATTAAATTAGATGATTTGAGAAAAATCCTAAGTCTATGAATATGGTTTTGAAGAAAACCACATAGTCTTGCAAGGTCCATTAAGTTTTTATGAAAATCATTTTAAACTGTCATACTATTATATAACTATTGCTTGTGAATGCATATATATATATACCACGTCAATTTTTTGTTTATTAAAAATAAAAACATTCTGTCTTGAAATTATTATAAAAGTAGGAGAAAAACTATCATGCACTGTTTTTTTTTTTAAATACCTGTATGCCTTGACCCATGTTTCTAGTTATTTAGAATCCTCGATTACCTAAGACTTTAAACCATAGGGAATATTGCAGGAATGTCATCATGTTGGGCTTCCCTGACGCATATTGTGTTGATTAGATAACTTAGTTTGTATGAATTTACTACCAAGATGTCTAGTGTGGTTGAACCTTTATGGTTCATAAAGGTTTTTGCGTATTGTGAAACCAACGGGTATTGAAGTACATATTGCATGAGACTTGATATGCTACCTCATGATATATGCATAAGAATGTTGAAAATGTATATATTGTATGTGCAATAATTGAGTGGGAGCTGCTACAGTCCCACGTTTTTTTAGCTACTTGGATATTCAGATATACAGGTGCAAGTTATCCCACAGATCCAGATGATGCGAAGTCTACATATGGATATGTATTCATGCTTGGAGGGGGTGCAGTTCTTTGGAAATCAAAGAAACAGAATGTGACAAAATTGTCCACCACAAAGGCAGAGTACGTGGCGTGCTGTTTGGTGATCGATGAGGTTGTATGAATTAAGAAATTTCTTAATCGACTTGACTTTTACCTCGTGCGGTGTGAGGCAGTAAGAATTTTCTGCGACAGCACGGTGACGATATGCATGTCAAAAGAGTCACAATTCCATAAGAACTCCAAGCATATAAAATCATATCTTTATCACACGGCATGCATATCGATAGATCGTTCGAAAAAGCCAGAAATCCACCTTTTAGGGTGAAGCGTATGCATGTGCAAGAGATACCCTTATGCACCATAGGAGCTATGGTCGCATCAGGTCTAGGTGACCTTGACAAGTCTCTAGGGGAGGACCTGAAATCCACAGACTGGGATTGAGATCCCTTGGCTGATCGGCCGGACTTTGGCGACCTGCTAATGAGCCCCTGCTTGGAGTGTGGGTCATGAGAAACACTGGGTCGATCTGATAAAGCAAGTGTGGTCTGTAGTCCACAGTTGAAGGTGGAGTGCCCCACGATTGTTGATTCCTAAAGCATATGGATTCTTGTCCCATCAAATTAATTTAATTGTGTTTTTTTTATGATGGAAATTCTTTTAAGATTATTATTTGAATTTTTATAAACCCCTGGATATTTTTTTTATAATTTTTGGATTTATAAAATTAAAGAATATGATAAATTTTTTTTATTAATTTTAAATATAAAAAACTATCATGGGGGCCCATTGTGCACATGGGCCTGCCATATTTTTAGAAGGTGAGGCCCATGAGTTCCTCCCTTGGGTGGCACGCCCCACCCTTATTCTCTTTCCTATTTTTTAGTGATATGGCATGTGGCCATATGGTTGGACGCTATTGACTAAATATTGACTTGATATATCTTTGAAAGATTTTGTGGACAGATTGAGTAGATTTGTGCTATTTTATAGTATGCACAATATTTTGATGAGATTTAATTTATTTAATTTTTATTGATGAGAAAATAGTTTAGAAAAGGGGGATAATGGTTCATGCACCTTCCATAATGTTGATAGCACATCTATGGAATGGATGGCTCAGATCTCTCACCCCACAAGTCACCCTTGATCTCTCACCCCACAAGTCTCTTCAATCTCACAATAAGAGGCAAGCTAAAGAAAACCCTAAGAAACCCTAATCTTATTCAAAGCCTATAAAAAGGGATTGTCTCTACCAAAAAATCTCTAGACATTATCTTTCTATCTCTCTCTTAAGAAAATTTATCTCTCTCATGTTTGATCTCTCTCCCACATTGTGAAAGAACCTAAAGGTTTAGGTTATGGAGTTCTTCTCTTCTATCTCTCAAATATGGATTTATGGCTCAAGGTTTGAGGGTTTAGCAAAAAAGACAATCCATCTCTCTCAAACTAGGTTGCTAAGAAAATTCACCTAGGGTTTGAGTTTGTGCGGCTTGGCCGAAATTTGCTTTTCGGGTTCGAGATTGAAGCTAGACCATTGATTCCATGCCATCGGATGGTGGTTACTCGGTGTGGGGTGTAATAAGCCCGATTGAGGTAATCGCCTGCACTCTTCCTTTTGTTTTTTGCAATCTTATCTTTTATTCTCAAGCATAGTGCATAGTTGTTTCAATGGCAACCAGTTGTTAAGATCTTCCTTTTATTATTATGCTGATTGTATTTTGAAATTTATCTTATTATAATAAAGACCACATGTAAGTGATCTTTTGCCAAAAAAAAAGGGTGAAGGAAAAAAAAAATGTATTCCCCGGTAAAAGATCACATAGGTCTTTCTTTCAGATTTGCCAACTATAATTGTGGGTGGCTGATCCACCCTCTTTAAGTTAATCACCAGCCCTTGCATGGTATATGGGCTTCTCAAGTCCGACCTCGGGTTGGGACGAAGAGGACCAGCCTTTTAGGGTTCTCTTTATGGATGAGTCAATGGGGAAAGGGCCCCTAAACTTGGTAGGAATTGAGCGTAGGATAGAGCGTTGTAAATCGTCAAGTGCTAACCAATTAAGCCCTAGCTCTTTTTATATTTGTAAGAAAAATAAATTCAGGTACTTTTTGCTAAGAAAAATGAATTGGGGTATTTGTAAGAAAAATATTAGTATTTCTTGAAAGAAAATTGAATTGCGGTAATTGGGGTTCCAAAAAATGTGCACCCTTAGGAGGGCTACCGATAATAATGTTTTTTGAACGGTAACGTATGATTTATCATTAATTTATATGTAAAATATAAGATGTTCAAATAAAGACACCAGATTACAGAAATGAAGTAACCAACTGAGATGGAGTATGGACTCCTTTGCAAGAACATAGGCATGTGGCGTGCTTGTCCACTGTGTAGCTCCATCTTTTGCCTAGGGCGAAGGCTGGCCCAAACCTGTTGCCCGCCCTAGTTATCTATTATATCCTCGTCAATGTGCAAGTCCATTGGGAGTTGAAATTTTTTTTTTGTTTTTTAAACATTAACACATAATTTCCATTAATGAAAGAGAATTACAAGACGTACAAGAAAACAATATATATACAATTTCCAGAGTGGGAGGGAGACCCTTTTCAGTAGATAGAAGACAGACTTCTCAAACTACAATTTTCGGAGGTATATAATAATGTTTGCCCCCATGGATTCCTAGGTCGTTGATATGAACGATGCTGGTAGGAAGACTTCATGGTCTATTTTATTGTAGATATTAAAGGATGAACTATCTCTTCGATCACTAACTGAGTTGATGGTTGATATACACCTTATCTACAACCATCCCCATTCTATAGGCATGTTTGGCCAATTGGATTCAGATTTCCAGTAGTCAGTTTTCTTGAAAATCTAGGCCAATCGTGTTTGAGTTGCTTAGAATTGATATTTATGTTGGAATTGAGATTTCTGTGGGATTCTTGAAAACTTATTTTAAACTTAAATTTTTGAAATCTCAATTCCACCAAAATAGGTGGAATTGAGATTTCATGAAAATGATTCATTTTGTTGTTGAAGAACAAAAATAATATTAAAATTTTAGAGGGAGAAACTATATCAAATTTGAAAGAGAGAAAACATAATAAAATTTTAGAGAAGGAAACTACATCAAATTTGAGAGAAATAAAGTATATGAAATTTTTTGGAGAGCGAAATTATCACAAATTTAAAGTTTTAGAGATACCATATTAAAATTTCAGAGAGAGAAAGTATATTAAAATTTTAGAGAGATAAGCTACATTTTTAGAAAGAGGAACACTTAAAAATTTTTAGAGAGAAATATCTCAAAATATTTAGAGAGAGAAATTATCTCAAATTTTAAGTTTTAGAGGGAGAGCATATTAAAATGTTAGAGATTAGAAATTATATAAAATTTTAGATATAAAAACGACCAGAAAATTTTTAGAGGGAGCAACTATCTCAAATTTTAAGTTTTAGAGAGAAAATATCTTAAAACTTTAGAGAGAAAATAATATCAAACTTTATATTGAAAAGTACTTGAAATGTTTAGTTAGAAAAACTATTTAAAAAATTTAGATAGAGAAACTATCTCAAATTTTAAGTTTTCGAGAGAGAAAGTACAATAAAATTTTAGAGAGAGAAAGTACATGAAAATTTTAGAGGGAGAAAGTATCTTAAAACTTTAGAGAGAGAAACTATATCAAATTTTAGATAAATAAAAGACTCAAAATTTTTAGAGAGAAACTATTTGAAAAGAATTAGATAGAGAAACTATCTCAAATTTTAAGTTTTAAAGAAAGAAAGTATATTAAAATTTTAGAGAGAGAAACTACCTGAAAATTTTAGAGCGAGAAACTATTTCAAAATTTAAGTTTTAAAGAGAGAAAGCATCTTAAAATTTTAGAGAGAGTAAGAATATCAAATTTTAGAGTGAGAAAGTACCTAAAATTTCTTAGATGGAGAAAGTAGCTTAAAATTTTTAGAAAAAACCTATCTCAAATTTTAAGTTTTGGATAGATAAAGTACCTTAAAATTTTAGAGAGAGAAACATGTCATATTTTAGAGAGAAACTACCTAAATTGTTTAGAGAGAGAAACTATCTCAAAAATTTTATAGAGAGAAACTCTCTCAAATTTTAAGTTTTAGAGAGAGAAAATATCTCAAACTTTTAGAAAGAGAAACTATATCAAATTTTTGATAGAGAAAGTATATAAAATTTTTAGAGAGATAACTATCTCAAAACGTTTAGAGAGAGAGAGAGAAATTTGCAATTCCTAGAAAAAGATATTTCAGGCAATCCAAACAAGAAATTTGTATTTCATTGATTTCTACTCGATGCCATCCAAACAGCATACACCATATTTCAAGAAATGTTAATTCCAAATCTCAATTCCAGGATTGACTTTTCCCATGATTGAAAAATCCAAGGATCCAAATGGGCCCTAGATGAGTTGGCTTGTGAGCTTTTCTTGGATGGTCTGTTCTTTCAGGATCAGTGTTTCGAGACTCAGTCGAGTCTACTCAGACATGGCTGAGGTAAACTCATGCCTTTGGCCAGTTGAGTTAACCCTAGTTATTTGGGACCACTTGGGGTATATTAAAAAATAAAATAAAAGTCTTAGAATGTATAGAAAAATAGGAGATTGATTTATAATTTTTTATATATAATTTGGATATTATCACCAAAGATTGGTGAGTTTTTTTGTTCAATGCCCTATTTTTATATTTTCCTTTTTTTAGATTTTTTAAGATGTCCCCAAGTATAAATCAATTGTTTTTTTAGCCCATGTTTTACATACACTTTTAATCTTATATGGATTGTTTAGGTTGTTTTTTGTTTTATTTTGAACTTTACTATTTTTCTAAAAAAAATTAATTTTTCTTTTCATTTTATTGTACGAGGGATTTTGTGCTCTATATATTACTCGGGTGATTCTGAGTACTTGACAAGATAACTCACCTCGGGCAACAACCCAAGGCGAGCCTCTGAAACATTGATTAAGAATATAGCTTCTCCACATAAAATTCAAGCGTTTCTATAATTGTTCTTATAAGAGGGAAAGTGCTAATTGTTAATTGACAGACAACGAGGAGTCTCCTTATCACGAATTGCTTGAGCAATATGTTGTACATGAATCCTCTGAAAGCCCCTATTTTAGAGGAAGAAAAACACAAATAGCTAGACCGAACCAAAGAAATAAATAAATAATGTAAATAAGATTTTAGAGATATTATGTAGTTCATCACAAATTTGACTACATGCACGAGTGAAAAGTAATAATATAAAAAAAAACGTATAAGAAATCTTTTATCCAAGAGAACCAAAGCTGCAAGTTGTAAAGTAATTTAAACCTTTTCTTGATATTTTCCATAAAAATTTATGGGAAAGAAATCAATCATAACCCACCGAATCCTATATTTCCAAAATAAGACCGAGGTATATGAAAACTCTTAAGAAATATATTGCTTATATTTCTCCCCCATAAAGTCATAAATGGAATAAGCATCTTATTTTTTTCCATAAGCCCACTATGAGCATAATTTTACAACACCTACCATTTTACCATGAATGGAAAATAACCATGAAAGACCAACAAAGAAAACCCTAAAATACAAATCCTAGAACTGGCTACAACGAGCTGGTGCAAAGGACAACTTCTTCTCCTTAAGATCATACTCAACCACCATATTTTGCTGCTGCATATTTCCCAGAATGGAAATATCAGAAGATCTTCCCATGAGCAAGCAAACCACATTCTTTGGCATGATATAAAATGAATTTCTTGGTTCCCACTTCCAGTCAGCATTGCCGGAAAAGTGGAACGTAATGTCCGGTAATCCAGTGATCCTATGAGGATCCGGCACTTTGTAGCAGGCTTCAAATGGTTCTGGAGGATTATCAAGAGGTGGAAATTCGGCAGTTTTATTTAATCCTTTGAGCACTGAACTGAAGGCCATAGATGACAGGACAGTCATAGTGGTGCCTGAATCTATGATGAGCCCACTGTCTCCACTTGGGCTTGGATCAAAGGTCCCTTGAGGAATGTGAAGCCTCTTCGAACCGATGCTAATATCCGACAGATTCAAGAAATAGAAGGTTGGAATCGCTTTCATCTGAACTATTGGTGTACTCGAAACATTCGGGCCCGAGATATCGGCATTCTTGCCAAAGTTCAACACACTCATCGTGTTATTCTCATGCCTTGAGGCAAGGCAATACGAGAATTTGTTCGAGATTGAGCTCCCTATTTGAGAGACTAGCGACAAGGGCCCACCTCCAAGCCCAACCAGACCAGCTTCACCATCACCGCCCATGTTCCCGGTGTTTGAGAAGCTACAACCGAACCCGATCCCTTTGATTTTGGCACCAATGACATGATTAGTACTAAGACTGGTACTAGTACTAGTTTTAGTGGGATTGATACCGGTCGCACCAGAACTGGATTTAGCACGTATGCTGGGATTAAGGGATGCAATGGTGGATTTTGGGGATTCAAATGTGAAAGTTTCAGTTGAAAGATTACCAAGAGTGGCTGAGCCGTCGCCGTATGCATATTGGTATTGGCATGAGGAGCCATCACATATGCGATCACCCTCAAGGGCTCGGCACAGTGGTGTGGAGCACTTGAGGGGGTGATATGTCGAAGATGAACTGGGGTCAAAAATCGGTGCCTTTTGCTTAAAGCATATGTCACAGGGGCGGCACTGAGTCCAAGTTAGGTCACTCCCAGTGTCGGCAATAAGCCAGTATGGCTTTGCCGGGGTCCCAATCCCGACCCTCATGAGGTACTCAAAGGGAGCTACCTTCACTGGTGATTCAATTTTTGATGGTGAGGATTTGCCGGCAAGGACTGATCGGATGTATCGGATGCGAAAAAAGGAGCGTTCTACAGACAGCCCAAAGATGTCTGAGGAAGAAACAGAGGAGTCATGCATGGGGGAGTATGGAGAATCACGGTGAATGAGGGCTACCTTGAATGAGGAAGAAGGGTTGGAAAGAGGGAGGGGTGTAGAGAGAGAATAGGAGGAGAGAGAGAGTAGCAGAAGAGAGAGAGGGAGGGTCCTTAGGGTTGCCATGACGAGGAGATGTGAGCTTTTCTTTGGGGACTCTTGATTATATAATTCTGGGCGACCAGTCTGTTTTAATGGCATGGTTTCCTAATTTTGTACTGTAAGGGTGCAATGAATGTATTGCCGTATGCACTCAAATATGCATGTGCATGTATGTAATAACTTCCTATAATGGGCTCATGATTAGTATTCAAGGCCCTAGAATATGATGTCGTGAATAACTTCCTATAATAGGCTCATGATTAGTATTCAAGGCCCTAGAATATGATGTCGTGAGTTTCATTCTTATTACGGTAGGGAATCACTTTTCAAGTATCTAAAAAAAATAAACAAAAATAAAAATTCCTTACCCAATGTGAGCATCTAAAATGTGCTTATCCAATTTTGATAATTTCACAACTGAGTAAGGCAGTCAACGAGTCTAGGGTGGCTTGCACATTTTCAGGCCGATCCCAGGTCTTGGTGCTAATGTCCACTGGCTTGGTAGGCTTGAAATATTTTTGGGCCAAGCCGAAGGAAGAACTAGCCCAACTCAAAAAAAAATTAAGTATATATTACCTATATTAAACAGATTTTTCCATATTTAAATAGGGTCAGGCCTAGCACATTTTTCAGCCCTGGTCCGGCTTAGGCCTCGTATCTTGAATTTGAGTCCTAAACTAAATTTTCATGCCCTAGCTAGGCCCAATTCAACCCTACATGGTTTGGGACCGATTAACCAACTGATTTTTCCTTAGTGAAACTGATTAAACAAGGTTGGATAATGTTTTTGCAATTTATTCTCTATTTTAAGTTATTATTCATATGTTTTCTTTACATTTAAAAAACTGGTGGCCAAGCGCACATGGATTTGGATAATAAGACTCATTAATTTTCTCTATATTTTTATTGCAATATCTTTATATATATATATATATATAGAAATTCTACAATTATACTACACTAAAAGGAGATTACATAGTCAGAGACAATAGTCTAAGTAAGGAGGGACTCCCTTTGGCAAAGAAATCAACCAACACATTAGCTTCCCTATAAACATGAATAAATGAAAAGGTAAAAGGTCCAGAGAGGTCCTGAGGCAATCTCAATTCCCGAGGCAACTTTTGAAGGAATCACCTTCAATCATACAGTAAGAGGGCCTGCATACGTAAAGACAATATTCCCAAACCAATCTCTAACTACACCACCAAATCCTGTTAGACTAGGGTTCCCTAATGAACTACCATCAAAATTAAGTTTAAAGACCCCTAAAACGGGAGCCACCCACCTTTCTTTAGGTCTGCATCTAATAAAGCCTAACTGGTAAAGATTTCATAAATTTATCCTAACATCTACTTCTGAAATATCTTGGCAAACTTTGGTCATTGACAGATAAAGCCAAATAGCATGCAAAATCTTCTCCAAGATTTTCTCAAAGGGCAAGCATATCCCATCAAATATTCTTCTATTTCTTTCTTTCCACACTTCCCATAAAATCACACCTCTAGTGATTTGCCAAATTACCATTCCTGTATGTGATAAAAAACCAAGCATCATTTTTTATTTCAATATCTATCCATACCATTTACCTCCTAATCTCCGTCCTCTCTCTCTCTCTTTCTCTCTCTCATGCAAAATGCTTATAGTGCTTCTTTTGCATAGAAAGAAAAGTTCCCATCAAATTTCCACGAGCCTTTTTCAAAGAACAAAAGAAAATCTGCCAAAATACACCTTATGTATTAATTATTCAACATTTTACTCATATGTTTTTATTTAATTTAAAAATGTCCATCAAAATATACATGATTTTGACTTAGGTGTCTAATCCACCCTAATTGAGTTAATCACTTGTCGTTGCTTGGTACTAGAATTCGGCTCTTACGCTTGGTATGTAGGCTTTGGTTGTTAAGCTGGTAGGTTGACACAGTATGATGTCTAAAGTTCAATTCCTATCAAGTTCCCAACTTAAAATTTAATAAAATAAAATAATAAAATAATTGTCCCTACTTTAAGATGAGAAAAAGATAGAAAATCGGTAGTCTTATTGCCTCCTTATATTGTAGAAGTCAGGTGCACTTATAAAATTTACTTAAAGATGTCGTTTCGGCGTCAAAAATATGATGGCTTCAAAATCTCTTTTCAAATTCAGTTAGAAAATTTAAAATTTAAAAATGGTACAGATCAAGCAGATTAATAAACACTTGAAAATCTTGAAAATAGACGGTCCAGATGACTTTTTACTAGATGTACTATTTTTTTAACTTGGATTTTTTTTTTTTCATGTCCATTCATCTCAAGGTCTAGAAGATTAGTTGGAAGGTTCTCCTATGTGTGAACACTCTCCACTGTATGATTTTTTATATGCTCCTTTCCTCATCAGTATAAGGTTGCAACCTTATACAAACTTTTTCCTTATTTGAGTATTTAAATACGCCGCATGACATGTGGAAAATAATGTTGCGGCAAAGGCAATTGGGGTAACGGGTGCTGCCATGTGAGATCATTGGGAGGATGAGCTTTAAGTAGAGGTGATCAGGGTATTGGATGCCACATTAAGCATGACATCCAGAGTTCCATTCTCACTGGTTCGATGACGAATAGAACATTGCATAATTCTTATTTTAAAATTCAATTTTAAACTCAGATTTATGTTATGTGCAACTTATCTTGTACTCCTCATACGCCCTTTATGCAGCACTCACTGTAGAGATTGCAATAAATAAAGCAATGAAGAGAGAGAAAGATCAACACGAGATATATGTGGTTAGACAATGGTGTTTACATCTACGGAAGGTAAATCAGTATCTCATTCATAGGGATTACTCCAGTTTACCAAATATTTTTAGAGTTACAATTCTTGGCCTTTAAGAAACAAATCTCACTACAATAGTAATCCCTCAAAATAGGAAACTTAATATAGGAAACTTATTTTCTTATAATATCTTGTAATATACAAGATAGGAAACTCAATATCTGGTTTCTATAACTATCAACACTTCCCCTCAAGTTGGTATTTAGATATCAATGGAGCTTAACTTGGACAATATCTGATAGAATTTTATCTTTGCAATAGCTTTGGTAAACATGCAAGTTGATATTCACTTCAAACATAAGAAGTACGGATAATTTTTACTGAATCTTTTCTCTCACAGAGTAACAATCAACTTCTATGTGCTTAGTTCTTTCATGAAAAATTTGATTGAAGGCTATATGCATAGCCACTTGATTATCACAGAACATCTTCATTGGATTCACCATTGGAATCCCATATCTCGAAGTAGGTATTTTATCCATATCAATTCACTTGTAGTTGAAGTCATGACTCTAAATTCGGCCTCTGCACTGAATCGAGCAACTATATTTTGTTTCTTGCTTTTACAAGTAACTAACTTTGCTCTGACCAATGTACAATAGTTGGTAGTGGACCTCCTGTCAATTAGACTACTTGCCCAGTTAGCATCAAAATAATCAATAATATTAGTGTGACCATTCTGTTTCAACCAAACACCTCTGCTGACTAACGACTTAATATATCTGAGAATCCTATTGACAACCTCCATATGGCATGATCTAGGCACATGCATAATTGACACACAAGACTAACTATATACATTATATCTGGTCGTGTCACAGTCAAATAAATTAATCTGTCGACAAGTCTTTGAAAGCAACCCAAATCTTCAACAAGATAAAATTTACAATTAATATCAACAAAAGTGTCAACGGGTTTGACTCTCAGTTTCTCTGTTTCTTTCAACAGATCTAATACATATTTCCTTTGAGATATAAAGAGTCCAATTTTTTAATGTACTAATTCAATGTCGAGAAAATACTTTAATTGACCAAGATCATTGATGTCAAATTTCTTGTAAAGATAAATTTTAAGTTTCATAATGCTTTCTTTATCATTATCTGTAATGATAATATCATCAACATAAATGAGTACAACTGTTGTATCTGAAGTTCCTTTTTTTGTGAACATCGAATAATCAACTGAACTTCTAAGAAACCCGACACTTGTCAAGGCTGTGTTGAGTTTGGCATACCATGTGCGAGGTGATTGTTTAAATCCATACAAAGTATTTTTTAATTTGCATACAAGACCTTTCTCATTTTCTTTAGAATGGAAGGGAAGAAGACTCACATAGAATTCTTATTCAAAAGCACCATATAAGTAGGCATTTTTAATATCCATCTGATGCAAAGACCACCCAAAATTATCTGTGATAGACAAAAGAACACAAACAATATTCATATTGGCAACTAGTGCAAAAGTCTCTTTATAATCGACTCCATAAGTTTAAGTAAATCCTTTGGCCACCAATCTGGCTTTATGTCTCTCAATTGACCAATCACTATTATATTTGATTTTATAAATTCATCTACATCCAACTGCTTTCTTTCCTTTAAGTAACTTGACAATGTCTCAAGTATAGTTCTTGTCAAGTGCTTGAAGTTCCTCTTTCATGGCCTTCCCCCATACAAGTTGAGAAATAGCATTTTGAAAATTGGTTGGCTCAGAATTATTAGAAATATAACTACTAAAAGCAAAATAGCTAGGAAAGACATTTTCATAGGAAATATGATTTTTTCAATAAGATAAAAAACTGCATGGTAAGTATAAAAATCTTGAAATCTAGATGAAGGTTGAAAGATACAAGAATACCTGTGCAAGGGGGGATCAAGTTGGGCCACCGCCATGATGGACTCTTCTTCTTCCAAATCAATTTAGTGAGTTTTTGAGATATATTTAGCTTCGACTTAATCATCATGACTAGTTCCGAGTGTGTTTAACACTTCACTCGTACTAATATTAGGTAAGGGAAAATGATCTCTTGAACAATCCCCCTGAGTCATATTTTCCAAACCACTCTCTAATGTATTAT